AAACAAAAAAAAAAAAGTTGGCAGGAAGAAGTCTGTTTGGTTTTTAAGTACTGAAGTATCCAAAAACATTCTTAGGCCACTGAACACTGAATGTTGTTGTTTTTCCATGTTCACAGGCAGACATGCATGGCGTACTGACTTTCGTTCTCATTCCCAGCGCGCAGATCAAACCACCTCCTATTAAAGAGACTGTGGTGAGGCCTTCAGTCAGAACTAAATTAATTACTGCTTGAGTAAAGCAATGCATAAATAAAACTTATCAGTGATTAAACCTTAAACCACTTAAAAGTGATTAAATGTCCCTGTATTCACCCAGATGCATGTGAAGGCACATTTTGACTACGACCCCTCAGATGACCCCTACGTTCCATGTCGAGAGCTCGGCCTGTGCTTTCAGAAGGGAGATATCCTCCACATAATCAGTCAAGATGACCCCAACTGGTGGCAGGCCTACAGAGACGGGGATGAAGACAACCAGCCTCTTGCTGGCCTGGTCCCTGGTACTGTATCTCACATGCTATTCTGTGGATCCAGATTCTTCTTTAAATATTTCTTCCTAGTTTTTTTGGCATTGACTTTCACACATACATGTCTTTTTCTCATTGATTGTCCAGGCAAAAGTTTCCAGCAGCAGAGAGAGGCAATGAAGCAAACCATAGAGGAGGATAAAGAGCCTGAGAAATCAGGTTAGGGTCGCAGAGCTCATGCACACTCTTAAATGCATGTGCGCACAACTCTAAATTCTCATCTTCTCTTGACAGGAAAACTTTGGTGTGCAAAAAAGAACAAGAAGAAGCGAAAGAAGATGCAATACAATGCTAATAAAAATGATGGTGAATCTTTTCAGACTGTTGTTGTTGTTGAGTTCTACAGTAGTTTGTTGTAGTTTCTCCATCTCATCCATTTCCTATTGTTCTGCAGACTTTGAAAACGAGGAGATTCTTACATATGAAGAGATGGCACTATATCACCAGCCAGCCAATCGCAAGCGGCCCATTGCTCTCATCGGCCCACCAAACTGTGGTCAAAATGAGCTCCGACAAAGACTCCTCTCCAGTGAGCCGGACAGGTTTGCTGGTGCTGTTCCTCGTAAGTATCAGAAAACATACTTGTTTTTCAGCTTGTGTTACTATGTAATGTCCTGAGCTGCAAACTCTCTTTGCCACAGACACCACACGAAGCCGTCGTGATAACGAGGTGAATAGCCGCGATTATCACTTTGTGTCCCGTCAGGCCTTTGAGATGGACTCTGCAGCAGGGAAGTTCATAGAGTCTGGAGAGTTTGAAAAGAACCTCTACGGCACCAGCACAGACTCAGTCCGACAAGTCATCAACACGGGCAAAATCTGCCTCCTCTGTGTACACACTCAGGTGAGATGGACCACTTTACTGCAGAGTTTAGCTGCAGCACACCTGCCTGGAAGCTTCTAGTGATCTTTAAGACCTTGATTATCTGGTTCAGGTGTATTTAATTAGGTTTGGAGCTAAACTCTGCTGGAAGCTGGCCCTCCAGGAGCAGAATTGGACACCTCTGCCTTAGCATTTTAGCGGCAAATTTTGAAAACCAAGTACTACATGCTTGTTGGATTGTTATTATTCACTATTTCTTCTACCTTTTTAGTCTTTGAAGGTATTGCGCAGCTCAGACCTCAAGCCCTACATTATCTTCATTGCTCCTCCATCCCAGGAGCGATTGAGAGCCCTCTTAGCAAAAGACAACAAAAACCCAAAGGTAAACATCGGCCCTGAAAGATCAACTCTCAGGAGCCATTCACAAAGAATGTTTTTCGCATTCCACTGTGCTGATTTCCATTGTTTTTCTATGTAAGCATTAGAGCTGTGACGATAAATCGATGCAAAATCGATTCGTGAATCGATTCTGAGATCTTCCGAATTCATCGCGATTCTCTCTGGAATCGATTCTGAGCATAGATTTTAACAGCAGATGGCACTCTAATCTACTTTTTATCCGCACACTCAAATGCTCATGAAGAAGAGTGCCTGTGCGTACGGCTGAGTCCTGAGACCTCAGCTCAGAATGCTTTTATGACATGAGATTACTGTGAACACAGCCCATTGTGAACACCCTTGTAATTCACTTCCACAACCATTTCGAATTTTAGGAATAATTATTTTAGGTTCAAGTGTGTGCAAGGATTTGGAAACAAGCAGAGTACGGCTGTTTCTAAAGCATGCAGTGCCATCTTCTGTTCAAAACTAAGCTCAGAATCGACTCGAGAAAGAATTGCGATGCATTCTGAAAATCTCAGAATCGATGCTGAATCATTTCTCAATTTGCGATGCATCGATTTATTTTCCCAGCCCTAGTAAACATGCACTAGACAAACGTCTTACACCTGTGTGCCTGAGTCTCAAGCCTGTGCATGAAATAGCACTCAAACTTTTAACCCTTGTGCTGTGCTGAAAATCTTTTAATTAATTAGTTTCCAGTAAAAAAAGGCCAGCCTTTTAAAATTTTTGGATTCAATCTGTTTGTAAACTTCTTTCTGTTGTGGTCGAACGCCTCGTTGATCTGAGCTTATGCACCTCAGTTTTTGAGTAAAAAAAGCATTATTTGGGGGCAATGTTCACTCAAAAACTGAGATGAATATGCTCATATTAATGAGTCCTACGAATAATCAGTAAGTTTTAGTCCACTGCAATAAGATTTAACTAGCATTTTAGGAAAAAGAAAATCATCTCTGGGTCAAAATGACCAGAACACAACATGAGGATTAAAGAACACATCTCGAGCCCTTTCATTTTTTTTTTCCATTCCCCTGCCTTCTATCTCTGTGTGAACTGGCCCTTTGGACTACTACTCCCATTTTCATTGTTTCCCTTTTGGGTTTTTTTCCCTGTTTTTTCAGCCCGAGGAGCTGAGAGACATCATCGAGAAGGCCCGTGAGATGGAACAGAACTACGGCCACTTGTTTGACGCCGCCATCGTGAACACCGACCTGGACAAGGCCTACCAGGAGCTGCTGCGTCTCATCAATAAATTAGACACTGAACCTCAGTGGGTCCCCTCATCCTGGCTACGCTGAGATGAAGCCCACTCACAGTGACCCCTCCACAGACGGGTGTAAATGAAGAGCAGACTGTTTGTGAATCGCACACTCTCGGGTTCCATAGAGTTGACTGAAAGCCGCCGTTTTTACACTACAGGATACAACACTAGATAAGGACACTACTACGCCCCCTCAGACCTCGCCAGAAGTGTCTGTCTGCACTGCGCTGTCAGCAGGCTGAGGGAATGAGAGTTTTTATGTCAGAATTTGTTTGATCATGGTGTGTTTCAATTAATATTGTCGTTATTTAAAATGCAGTAAATCATTAAACATTTCTTTGTCCTACATAGACCCGTTGTTATAAAACTGCAGTGTAGATTTTTTACATTTTTGAGCCAAATCTCAAAATTGTCCTATGGTGTTACTGTCTCAAACATGGTTCAGTAAATTACAACTTTTATAAATTAAAAAGAAAAACAAAAATGTTTTTAAAAATGTTTCTTATTTTAGTAAATGGCAATAATTTTTTTCATCCATAAATTTCTGAAAGTGTAGGAACTTATACATTTTGTCTCTGAAAAGCATGTCCTATGGTGTGACACCATAACCTGATTTTATATCAGCCAATTCCAGGAAAAAAGTAAATTAGTTGAAGGAACTCATTCATGATTATGTTACTGAAGCCCATCACATGTGCACATGGTCAATTTTTGTCTCAAAATTGTTCAAATATTTAACTTTTTTGGAACCACTATAAAAGCGTTACGTTTTGTTGTCCTTTGGTGTGACACCCTTAAATTATATATTTTAATTAAAAACTGCATGTTAAACTACATAATCATGGAAAATTATGCAAATGTGTCTTGCTAACTGCTAATGACAGAATAGCTTGGAATAGCAAGGTCATTAATTGACAGAAAAAGGCTGAAACGTCCTGTGGTGTGACAGAAAATGTCCTCTGGTGTGACGCCTGTACTGTCACACCACAGGACAAAGATGTCACCACAGGACAAGGTCTCTTTAAAAAGCATTTTAAATAATTAAATAAGATTTATTTAACTCCTTTTTATTCTTTTTTGATCATTTCCAGTGTTCTTAAATGCAATAATTACATTAAACTATTTTCTGATGTTTTTGCAGAAAACTTGTACTGTTATAAAGTGTCATGAAAATAAGTATAAAATGTGATACTTTGTTTTTGAAACAGAAAGAGTTGAGGGAGAGAAATTAGTGGAAAACAGAGGACACAGAAATATAGACCGAAAAGTAACGGGTCCACGCAGAAGGGAGGAGATCCTAAGAGAACAATGCAGAAAATAAATAGAATCAAAATGATGCCTTAAAAAGAGTAGAGTTTAAAAATAGTTTAAAAAGTATATAGTTAAAAAAAATTATTCACGTCTTAATGAATGTAGTTTGAATATCAATCATATTTAGTTTCAGTAACATACTGATTGACTAAGACGGATTTTGTTGACGAAAATTATTTTTTGTTTTGTTTAAAATATATGTTGATATTGTTTGTATCAAAATTAAACTTACTTTCTCCTTTGACTATTTAATATTGATTAATAAATTAATATAAACTACCATTTCTGTCCTTTAGTGTGACGTAATGTCCTATGGTGTGACACACATAAAAGAACCACAGATTTTTTATCTCAGAATATCTTTAAAAAACAGTTGATTATTGCAACAGACGATATGTAATCATCACTCATCTTAAAATGGTATAATTTTCATCCGTTTTGAACGGATGACAGCAAAGTTTGTCTTATCAAAGTTTGTCCTGAAATTGTCCAACAAGTCATGGGGGAAAAAAATATGTTAATTATAATTTCATATTAAATAAATAACACCATATGAAAATAAGCGTCTAACAATGAAGATAAATCTCTCTCATGCTATGTATATATTATTCAGAGGGTTTTTTTCTTAATTTTTGCTATGTCACACCATAGGAATTGATTAAGTTAGTGACCCTTTATATTTTCTCAAAGATCAGACTTCACACTACATAAATATTTCTTTTTCAGAAAAGGTCTTTTACAAAAAAAAAACTTTTTTTTTTTTTACTGCCTATTTGTCAACTGCCCATATTCAGTCATGGCCAAAAGTTTTGGCAGTGACATCAATTTTGTGTTTTGCAAAGTTTGCTGCTTCAGTATTTGTAGATTATTTTTCCACGTTTCTATGGTATACTGAAAAACAATAAGCATATCATAAGTTTTAAAAGTTTTTATTGGCAAATATATATATAATGAGTCAATATTTAGAGTGTTGACCCTTGTTCTTCATAACCTCTGCAATTTGGGTTAGGGTTAGTTCTCGGAGTTGATCACAATTTGTGGGCTTCTGCTTGTCCACTCGCCTTTTGAGGACTGACCACATGGTTCTCTATGGGATTGAGATCCAGGGAGTTTCCTGGCCATGGATGCACAATTTCAATGTAATGATCTTCGAGCCACTTCTTTATCACTCTTGCTTTGTGACATGGTGCTCCATCATGCTGGAAAATGCACGGATCATCACCAAATTGCTCATGGATCGTTGGAAGAAGTTGCTCTTGCAGGACGTTTTGATACCATTTTTTATTCATCGCAGTGTTTTTGGGCAGAATTATGAGAGAGCCCACTCCCTCGGTTGAAAAGCAACTCCACACATGGATGTTCTCAGGATGCTTCACCGTTGGCACGTCACAGGACTCATGATAGCGTTCACCTTTTCGTCGCCGAACAATGGATTTTCCAGATGTCCCAAACAGTCGGAAGGGAGCTTCATCAGAGAAAATAAAGATGAATGCTAGGACTACGAGGTAAAGGAGTTCGTGCTGAACTGTGAGGAGGGTTCAGCATCCTTCGCCAGGAAGTCTATTCCTAATATGTACATGTTTTTCTGTACATGTGGCCATTTTATACAAAACACATGTTCTTGGCCAAAGATCCTATATGTGTATGTCATCCTATCCTCATTGGTTAAGAGGGTGAAACTCCCCTCGACATATGCCTATATAAGATCTGTATTTCTATGAATAAATTGAAGTATTGAGAATACATTGACTGTGTGTTTTCTTGCTTCCCGGCCGTTATACACTTTAAGGAACTGAGAATTCTTCAAGGCGGCAAAGAGATACGAGGGACAAATTGTTATTTATTAACAATCATAAAAAAATAAAAGCAGAACTTCAGTCTGTCCTTGACGTTTTCTTGGAGAGAAGTGGCTTCTTTGCTGCTTTTCTTGATACCAGGCCGTTGTCCAAAAGTCTTGGCCTCACTGTGCGTGCAGATGCTCTCACACCAACCTGCTGCCATTCCTGAGCAAGATCTGCACTGCTGGTGACACGACTCCATAGCTGACTCCTCGGGAGGAGACGGTCCTGGCGCTCGCTGGACACTCTGGGACGTCCTGAAGACTTCTTCACTGCAGTCGAACCTCTCTTCTTGAAGTTCTTGATGATCTGGTAAATGGTTCTTTCAGGTGCAATATTTTTGTAGCAATTTCCTTGCATGTGAGGCCATTTTGATGCAAAGCACTGATGGCTGCACGTGTTTCTTTGGAGGTAACCATTGCTAACGAGAACATAATGATTGGAAGCGCTTCTTCCCTCCATCAGTCTGCTCTTACAATCCAATTAGTAAGAGAGTTCTTTATTAACAGTGATTAACCTGACTAGTACTCATTCACACTTTCACATGTGCTGCTGATATGATTAGTCAATTCATGTTAGCTGCTCATTTTGTGTCATGATCAAAAAACAGTGAAATTTGTTTTTTTTCCTGACTAGTACTCATTCACACTTTCACATGTGCTGCTGGTATGATTAGTCAATTCATGTTAGCTGCTCATTTTGTGTCATGATCAAAAAACAGTGAAATTTGTTTTTTTTTGTGAAAAGTTCATTTTTTTGGCCAATAAAGCTTTTAGCAATTATTTTAAATGCATCTGATCACTCTACACAATAATCTAGAAACAATGTGAATGAACACCACAACAGCTTAAGCAAACTTTGCAAAACACAAAATGTATGTCTCTGCCAAACTTTTGGCCATGTCTCTCTCTCTCTCTCTCTCTCTCTCTCTGTGTGTGTGTGTGTGTGTGTGTGTGTGTGTGTATATATATATATATATATATATATATATTAGTGCTGTCAATGTAGAAATGTAGGAATGCATAAATAAATGTAAAAATAAATAAAAGCAGAAATGCATAAGTTAATGTATAAATGTAGAAAAAATGTAGTATAACACAAATGGTACAAAAACGGCACAATTAAAAACGACAGTTTTGGCAAAATTATTTATTTATGCATTCATTCATTTATGCTTATCTGCATTTATTTATTTAAGCATTTAATTATTTATTTATTCATTGATGTATTTCTGCATTTATTTATTGATTTATTTCAGCATTTAATTAATTAATTCTTTATTTACTTATGCATTTCTACATTTATTTGTGTATTTCTATATTTATTTCTTCATATATTTATTTCTTCATTTATGTATTTCTACATGCATTTATGTATTGAATTCTGCATGTACGTATTTATTCATTCATTTATTTATTTATTTATACTTAAGTCATTTAGTCAAACGATTAATCGCATCCAAAATAAAAGTTTTTGTTTGCATAATATATGTGTACTGTGTAGCCTATTTATTATGTGGAGCTATATATAAATACACACACATGCATGTATATATTTCAGAAAAATATGTTATGTTTATATATTAAATATATTTATTTACATGCATGTAAATATAGACAAAGAACAAAAGATGCACGAACTCATTGGCATGTCGCTTTTATTCGCAAGTGTGCCTCCGAATCACTAGCAGGCGGTGCAGAGCATCTTTACACGCTACGAACAAAAGAACGACTTCCTCTTCCGCCTGGGTTTCAACATGCTGATGAAATAGATAGCAGAGAAACCGCTGTTCACTTTTCCTTCTTGTTTTGTATCTTTGCACTTGGATTCTCATCATCAAATAAAGGACATTAAGTAAATTCCAGTACACATTTCTTCTAACGTTATATATCGGTAAGTTAAGTGAAAGAGAGTTTAGTTGTAATGGCAGAAAGTGGTGTGGTTTGTGTTGAATTTATCTATTAATCTATTTGTTTATCAATTATAGTTTACCGTATGTTTGAGGGACAGCTTTTGTGTCTCAAATCTTAGTATAAAAGTATAAAGTTGATTTGTATGAGTTGCTTTCTTACGTTGAACACAAAAGAAGATATTTTGAAGATTGCTGGTAATCAAACAGTTGGTGGTTGCCATT